TCTCTCTCTCTCTCTCTCATATTTTACACTTTGGTCCTCATTGGCTGTATGTCATGCCACTGGCTATCAGTGGAGGTGCAACTAATGTCCCCTCGAACACCATCGCCCACCTCCCTCCCCACCCTGGGCTTGTTCCACCCGCAATCCCCCTCGATCCACTTCGGACCCCTTCTTCTCCTTTTCACGACCTTGCGCACAAACTTTCTTCGTCTCTCTTTCTGCCCGCACATTTGTCCACGGTGTGCGCAATGAACTCAAGGTCAAAATCATCATCTGTTGTAGTCATGTGATTGACGTCTCCCCTCTGCACACAAGGCAACCCAGCTCTGTACAATGCCACTGCCTTGTCTGCAACAAAAACAGCACGGTCGAGCTCGAAGATAGAAAAGCTTACGACCGTGTCTCGGGAGCGGACCGATGCAGCGATCTCTTTCTTGATAGCTGCAAGTTTCTGTATTTAGTCCGCTGATTTACTCGTCTTTGTCGTCTGGTCGACTTCACTTTTCAGTACCAGCTCCACAAATGCTAGTTGCTGCAACGTTACGCCAAGGTTGATGACATCTCTTCTCATTTGAAAAACTTTTGTCAATGTTGTCTTAAAAGGAGGAGCACCCCACGGATCATTGTGGCTCCGTCTCCATGTTGTGTTCCCCTTCATCTCTGCCCGCATCATGTTGCGAGTCGGAAGCTGGTGATCCGTTTGAGCTGACCGTAGCAGCGGCAGATCTTTTTCGGCCCAAAACCAATGCTGCAATTGCCATGATATCTTGCCTCGGACCGTTGTCATAATCCAATTGCATTCCCCGATCACAGCTCGGATTCCGTTCGCTGCTACGTGCAACCGTAGTCCTTCCTCTGCATCTTCTCCTATCAATTTGGCAGTTGTTTGAAGCGACGTGGAAAAAATGTCCTCCGATGGGTACAACATTGCATCCTTTGCTGCTGAAAAAGCAAAGGCCTTCGCCACTGAACGAAACAGTTTGTCTTTCATTTTCTTTGTAAAACCCCCGGTTTGTTGCTCTGTTGGTTCGCCAGCATTACCTCCACCTGTGCTGCTTCGCCTTTGCAAATTAGTGCAATCTGGGAAAAAAATAAAAAAAGACCAACAGATTAATGATTTAGTAATAAGAAGACCCTCCGCGATATGTGTTTTATGTATTGCAATCAGAAACAAACATAAGACCGCCACTTCCTCTCCCCTATCCACCCCCGAACACACTTCGTAACTCCCTCCCACCCCCACCC